GAAAAGTATAATTTAAAATAAATTTCTACTTCATTTTGAGTTTTATTGCAAAATTTTAAATTTAATATGCCAAAATTTAGTAGCATTAATAAAAATAATTTAATGTAAGTCATATTTCAGTTATGAAGTTTTCTAAAACATATTTTGATAAAACCTTTTAGGAATTTCCTAGGATAAAACCATATGGTTAGTTGTAAAATGGAAATATTTTTTCTTATATGACTAGAGATAATATAGTAGTATAGACTTGCCTTTAGGATTATTGTCCTAAGTATGTTTCTTTGGAAAACCTTTGCCAATAAAAAACTATTTTTTGAATACATTCCAGTAGGAGAATGAAAATTCCTCATTAACTGGAGTTCATCTTATTAAAAACTACAGTTGGCCAATTTGTTACCACAGATGCTACCTTAACTTAAAATTAAGAAAAGGGACAATAGTAAATAAATAATTAGTCAGGAATTTATCTTAAACTCTCCGCATGACCAGGAGTACAAAAACCTTTACAGCAAAACCTGGGAATCTCTGGCGTAGTTGGAGGTGATTTCTCTTCATCTGTTGTTCTAAGGGAGCTTAGTATTGTGTTCTGTATCTTTGTCCAAACTGAGTCTTATCCAAAGATGACAAGTTCAGACTACTGTAAGTTAACCAACAAAGCAAACAGTAGAGGGACTGAAAACCCAGTTCCAGCAAGGAATTCTCCCAGATTGGAGTTTTATTCTCATGTGACCTGGGAAGCTTTCTTTTTAAATTTTAAAATCTCTACTTAAAAGATATTTTTAATGTTTTTATTAGTGCATTGTAGTTATACATAATAGTGTGGTTCATGTTGACATAATCACACATGAATGGAATGTAATTTGTTCCACTTCAGTCACCAGTGCTTCCCTTTTCCCTCTGCATTTGTTTCTCATCTTTTCTTTTTTACCTGTTATGTTTCTCATTTCTCCCCTTTGTCCTTCTCTTCATCTCTGATTCCCCTTTTCTTTAAGTAAATACAGTATAAAAATATTTCTACATATATAGGATAAAATAGAAAATGTAGCTGAGTTAAATGCATTTTTATTTCTGAAATAGGAGAAAAAAGAATTATGTTCTCTTCAGACCCTCTTAAGTCTTTGTGACAGCACTTCTCAGTTTTATATCTCTTAAATATAATAATTGAAGTTTAAGCTGATAAATATAATGTAATATAATATCTGAATCATTAAAGAAACGTTGTTTTTGAAATTTAATATTGTTCTATTTAGGCAGAAACAGTATTTTATGAGCTATGACAGTTTTCTGGTTGCTTGAATTATTTAGAAAACTAACTGAAATACCTCTTTTTGTACTTAAATTCATTTAAAAAATATTTTTAGTTATAGGTGGACACAATATCTTCATTTTTATTTTTATGTGGTGCTGAGGATCAAACCCAGTGCCTCATGCATAGTAGGCAAGTGCTCTACCTCTGAGCCACAACCCCAGCCCCAGTTCTTAAATTCATTTAAAAAAAAATAAATTTGCTTTCAATATTTAAATTGTTTTCTCTAGTGTTCCTGGATTACTGAAGCAAAATAATATGTTGAAAGTGTTGAAAAATCTTATATTAAATATGCAAAATATTTTTCTCATGTTTCCAGGATTGTGATGAATGTCTGGAGTATTTTATATTAGGAAATATCACCTGTGTATTATAATAACTGAATGTATATAAATTCTCAATGACAAGAAGAGTCACATTTCAAGTATTTTTTATTTGATTTGATATAAAATAAATGATCAGTTTGCAGCAATTATCTTTTATTTACCTTTCAGCTAAGAGTTTTTACAATGTGAAATCTAAAGCAAAGAAATCCTACGTATAAGTATAATCTCACAGATTCTTATGGGGTAATTTCCCTATCCTATTTCTTTCTAAACATGGACTCCTATTAAAGGTCACTTCTTTCAAAAATGAGAACTACCTAAGAAAGGGGGAAAAATGTGATGAAGTTTGAATGTTATTTTTACTACTATTATGAGTAAACACTCATACTTTAGGAAGACAACAATTATCATTCAACTAAGGATTTTTGTGCTGTATTCATGAAGGATATTGGTCTGCAATTTACTATTTTTGATAATTTGGTAGAGTTTGGTTTTAGTATTATTCTCTCCTCATAAAATAAGTTGGGAAGTATTTCTTCATTGTAAGTTTTTGGGAGGGCTTTTTTTCTTTAAATCTAAAGTGAAACTATGTGTGCTTGGGGTGTGTGTGAGTGTGTTACTCTTTGTGTTGTGATTGGGGGCCTACTCTCAGGCTGAAGGTTGCAACAAACAGGTAATTAACTCACTTTGTATCATTTCTTTTAAGTGTTGATTCCCTTCAGAATTAACCTGTTGCAGTCATTTTCTAGTGATTCTGAAATTTATTAACTCTAATTTGTCTGTAGCTTATTCTATGTAGGAGGACTGATTTGATAAGAATTTACTTAGCCATTATTGGATGAAGAACCAGAAGTTTTGAGCTAAAAGAAGTAAGCAAGTATGGTATGATGAAGCAGAGTTTTAACAGCTACCTCATTATTTTAAAATACACAGAAAAGGGAGAATGTATGATAACACACACACACACACACACACACACACACACACACACGCACACTCAGGTCTACTTAGTAAAACGTTAGAGTGGAATACATTTTTATGTAATTATAGATAATTTACCATATGTCAAGGATTCTTTTTTTTAAAAGATAGAAGAGACAGAGAGAGTTTTTTAATATTTATTTTTCAGTTTTTGGTGGACACAACATCTTTATTTTATTTTTATGTGGTGCTGAGGATTGAACCCAGCGCCCTGCACATGCCAGGTGAGCATGTTACCATTTGAGCCACATCCCCAGCCCTCAAGGATTCTTTTTTTGGGGGGGGGGTGAGGGTATTGGAGATTGAACTCAGAGGCACTCACCCATGGAATCACACCCTAGTCCTATTTTGTATTTTATTTAGAGATAAGGTCTCACTAAGTTGCATAGTGCCTCGCATTTTGCTGAGGATGTCTTTGAACTCAAGGGTACTTTTCAATAAAATTGTCATGTTCTAAGGAATGTTGCCTTTATGATTCTTCTTGTACTCCTTAGGTTCTTTGTGAAGCAGGATTTTGATTTTACTCTGATATTGTTCTAGTGATTTTCCTCCCTGTCCTGTCCACAGTACTTATGTACTTTATTTATTTGGTGCTTTGGATCCCAGGGGAACTTTACCTCTGAGCTGCATCCCCAATCCTTTTTCAATTTATTTTTATTTTTTAATTTATTTTGAGACAGGGTTGCTGAGTTGCTGAGGGCCTCACTAAGTTGCTAATACTGGGCTTTGAACTTGCCATCCTTCTGCCTCAGCCTCTTGAATGGCTGAGATTACAGGTCTTTGCCACTGTGCTGGGCCTATCCATTATTCATTTGTCTAGGCTTTATCCTTTCTTAGGATTTGTAGGATATTCTAAATAATTTGTTCAATCTATAGGGAATTTGAAGAAGTAAAAGAAAGTGCCCTATGTATGCTAACTCTATTGGGAAGGTCCTGCTTGTTGAGATTTTAAGTATTTCAGAATGTTCCTGTCAGCTAACAAGGACTTCTCACAGTAATGATAATAATGTAACTAACAAATAGTTCTGATATGTATCCACTTTTGCATGTTTACTTCACTAGAAAATTCTCTGGAGTACAGTGGTGTCCTATATTCCTAGCTAAAAATTTGAAAAGCCATTTGCATGCTTTCAAAGTAGATTTTGAGATAACAAAATCTAATCAAAGAATGGAGACTTAATTTTGTCAGATGTGAAATTCTTCAAAAATTAATATATCTTCTTTTTTAATAAGGAAAAAAGTAAACATTCATTCTTAGAACATTCTGAATAATACAATGATTCAACTCTAGGTTTTAGTGTTTTTTTTTTTTTTTTTGTAAAGCCATTGTGGGACTATATGCAATTTTAGAAAACACCAGTCACAAATATGGACCACATTGCTTTTTGTACAGATTATCAATGGAAATTTATTTGCTTTTTACTTTTTAAAACAAAATTGTTCAGTTCTTATATTGTCAAAAATTATCAATAAATATCTTAGAAGATATATATCCAGTTTTTAATGTGTTTCCTGAGACAAGCTGGTTGAACTAAATCTATTGGAGAGTGAGCCATTGCTAAGGTTCTTCCATGTGTCATCAATTAATTCTATATGATTGGGTGAGGATAGGAGGTAGAATTACACAGGTGGTGAGATGGTTCTTGTTATGAAACGGTAGTTTTTTTGGTAACAGTTATTTTTTACATGTAGTTTTTTGTAATAATTAATTTTACATATATTGATGACTATTAAAGATACTTAAATTGATACTTGTGAAAACATTATGACATGTATTATACTTGTGAATAATAGCATAGTTTTTTGATTGTTGTATTAGGCAGAATATTATCTACTAGTATAGATTTCAAAAATCAAAATGTTCTATATATTTTCTAATGGAATTAAAAAACCTTACCTAATCTAGTAAAATCATTGTTGTAATTACATTGCTTTAGGATATTATCCTATTTTTAAAGGATATCTGGGTGTATTTGAGTATTTTCTTCTATCAGTATTTATACATATTAAGTTTTCTTGAGATGTTACCTTAAAAATAGTAGCTAAATTTCTGAAGTGTTTTTCTACTGTAATTAGTGCAGATAGTCTCATCATATAGATGCAAGAACTTAAGTAAAAGAAATACAAAAAATGTGATTTACACAGAGCCTCGGGGCTCAGGGTAGGCTTATAACTAAAGGTCAGTTTTGTTTGCTAACTTTGTAGTTTAATCATAGAAGTTAATATTCTTTTAAATAAATAACTGTTGTCCATTAACCTAAATATAATTTATGAATAAACTCTACTGTTCTTCCAGATTGCATGTCTACCGGTGTTTTCTTCTTTGTAATAAAAAATCATGTTATAGTAACTAATTCTTGCCTCACACCCTTTTTTTCCCCCTTTAGAAAAATTGGAAGCTCTGCCACCTACCCCAGGACAGCTGAGATATGGTAATGGTTCTATAATTGTTAAATATATGTGCATCTATCTTTTGGACTTGATGTAACTATATCATTTATTAATAGCACAGAAGAAATAGTAAATTAATCTTGCTAGAAAAAGTAGATTATCTTATTTATTTTGCAGAAGCATTTTATAAACTTGGTTTGATGTTATCACAGTACTGTGGTATAGCTAATATTGTTTAATAGCTAATATGTCAAGATATTATTGCTGTCTATAAATATAATTATACTTATGATAGAATTTTTCTTAATTCCAGGAAAAAGAATGTATTTGAATTTAAGTGCGATAACTGAAGAACTAGAATTTCTAGGCTCAAAGCTAGATAGAACTCTTCTCTGATGCAGAAAATACTTCCTGCTTAACTGTTTGTAAACAGTGAAAAGTAAAGTTCATTGAAAACACCAGGAAGAATAACCTTATTAAAATGCTGCTTTTCTTTCTTTTCTCTCTTATAATAGGAATAAATATATTGTAGGACTAACCTGGAAGTAATATAAAACAGTTAAAGATCCTACTATAAGAAGAAGAGAATTATCTAATGATATAGCAAATTTGAATAGGTTGTAAATTGAAGCCAAATATTAAATGTGATTTGCTAACAATTTCTATGTTATAGTGTTTCCCAAAGAAAATTGAAGAAATCACATATTAGTAGGAGATAATTATATACTAGAAAGCAAATTTATATCATTAGAAAAAAACTATCTAATAGCCAGCTCTTTTTTTTCTTATAGGTAGAATAAAATTTATATTAGAAATTAGTAACTTAATCCAAATGCCAAAGAATTTCAGAATTTTTAAGACTATTCTTCCCACCTGGGAAGACTCTTTCCTTATTCTTCCATCCTAATTCATACTACCTATATTGACATCACCATATAATACTGTTAGCTTTTTTTGTAGTTCATGTTTATATAGATATGTCACCATACCTAAAACCTTTGTTTATCTTTGTAGTTCAAGTTCCCAGTTGAGTGCCTAATACATTATTCATTTTCTTTTTAAAAAAATTATACTTTTTCCTTTTGGTTAAAAAGAAATTTTATTTATAGGACTTTTTTAAAAGGTAGAAATGTAAAAACATAATGTATTTTATAGTTCAAAGTGATTTCTGTAGCAATGTGCCTTGGTTTTACTAACCAAGTTTTTACAAAGATAACAATTAGACTAATCTTAATTTAATCTCCTTTATATTTAATATTAAGATGTTTGTATCGCAGACAGTTTTAGAGATGACATCAGGTTAACTCCAAATGCTGAGTAATCTTAACTGATTTCATCATTACTCTGCCAGATGTTTCAAAGAACTTGGGAAGATGATTTGCAGTTATACTTAAGTAGCTTTTTATTTACTGTACATATTTCACTTGATGAATTTAAAATTTTTCATTATATTATTTTAAGCTATTTGTACTTTACTTTTGGAAATTAGGATTGTATATATGTTTCTTATAAAATTTAGAATGCTCAGTAGATAAGCAATTAGGTAAAGGCAAAAAGTCAAAGAAGTAAGGCTAGACTCTGAAAACTCCCATTTTATTAATATGCTATTTTATTTTATCATCTTAATAGCTTTTAAAATAATATTCATAATTAAATATTTTTCTCTTAATATTGGACAATTCTACTTAATAGCAAGAAGAAATCTGAAATAACTATTATATACCTATTATGTACTCTCTTTTTTATATATAATAGTATGCTTTATTATATTCTATATATTCTTTCCCTTTATCTTTGATAGTGCCTTTTTAAAAACTACTTATTAGCTTTCCCTGATTGGTACAGAACTCACTATAGTAAGATTAAACTTTCATAACTTCTAGATAATATTTCAATTATATTTTCTATGGACTTAACTGAATTAAAAGAAAAAAGACTCTAAAATCACCTAACACATATATAACCAATTGGTTTAAGGGACTATGTTTTGGATAAGGTATGAAACTGGGTTTTGATGTTTAGTGAAGAAAGCCCTTAGTTGAACTGATATTGACCATACCTTGGCAATTTTATAGTTTTAATTAGAATCAAGTCTTTTACCTATTCCCAGCTTTTAATCTGTTTCACAGTCTGCCTTCAGTTCTCTCAATATGGAATGCTCTTCTTTTCCAGGTTAGTGGCCCTCAATTATTATTTATTGAGCATCTACTATGTTCTCAGCATTATGTAATGTGCTGAAGATGCAATATGAAAATATAAGGCTAAATGTATAAATAAGTTTTAGTTCTTCCAAGTTGCACTTTTAATATATCACTTCATTTATATTATGCACCAGATAGATGAGGTTAGGTGTGCCTTTGGTAGGAAGGGTCAAATTATATTTTGATTCAAAACAAATTGATTCTTTATGGTTTTATAGTAGGATTTAGGGATCCTGATGAATTGTGAATGGGGAAGGACTGCATATAGATGTCTAAAAAATATGTTAATCATATTTTTCAGACTGTTTTTCTTTAAAAAATTGGTTAGTGAATAAAAGCAATCAAGTAACTTCCCTGAAATTTGATTCTGCACATTTTTCCATATTTCTAATACAAAGATTAATTTTATGATAATAGTCTTTAGGCATAAAGAGAAACAGATTGATGTTGTAGCATTTAATCAGGTACAATATAGTATTTATATGTTTACTAAGTTGTTCCATCATTAACCAAATGTATATTTATGTGTGGGTGTGTCCATATATGTGTATTGCTAGTAAGAAAACACAAAAGACTAATACAACTATTGTTACATGTCATATATTTTTTTGTTTTGTTTTTTCCAGTATAACTTTTATCAAGTAGTTAAACTTACAGCAATAGCAGAATCTATTGACTATGAGGGATGAGAAACAAATTCAAAAGATTATCAAGTCTACTGGAGACTTTAATCATATGGTCTGTTTTTTTCATTCTAAAGTTAAATCTTAAAATCTACTTTTTTCTGTTTTTGATGTTTTTCAGTATTCATCCACAATGCGATACCTTTCATAGGGTTTGGCTTTTTGGATAATGCAATTATGATTGTTGCAGTAAGTTCTTTCTCTCACCACTTCTATTTTGAGTTAATAAAGAAATTATTGTGGCCTATATTTTCCTAATAATTTGTATAATATAGCTATTAATTTTAATTAACATCATAATGATCAACACTATTTATGTTTCATGTTAATTAGATTAGCTCAATTTTAAGGCACGATATATGTTAATTATTAAGACTTTGGCAAAGCATTTAGATAAGTCATTTAGGGTTTATATAATCTAATCAAGTTTCAACACTTTGAAAGAAAAAAGCATGCAAATTTTTTTGATATTCTTTAATTGTGCTAGTAGTTGTCATCACTTATGTAGGTTATTTGATTAGTTCATTATTTAATTTCCTCACTCAACAATGTTTCAACAGATGTTTTGATATACAGCTTTAGCCATTTAACCCAGAAGTTGTAAAGTTTCATTTCAGAGCATTGAATATATTGCCCTTTCTGCCTTTGTTGCATTATAGTAGTCCCCTTCATATGGTCATTTAAATGTAAGGATGCTTCTTAAAAGTGTATCCTAATTGATTGATATGCATTTCTTATTATTAGTAATGCCTTTTGGCAATGTATACCAACATTTGGTTTATATTTGTAACAGAAATAGGTCCATGATCAAAATGCAAGTCTTCAAAAACCATCCAGTGTTCTATTCACTTTTCTCTTATTTTGTCCAAATGGAATGGGTTGATCATTGTAAGGTAATAACAACTTTTAGTACATAGTTTTAGAATACTTAATGTGAATTCTTTCTTCTCAGATGTTAGAAGTAAATAGATTGAAGGTCTATTATCTATTTTCTGTGAGGTGGTAAAAGTAGCAATTATTTATGGATATCAATTTAAGAGTTCCTAGGTAGGGATTTTACTTGAACTCATTTGAGAAAATCAAAGTGCTTCTTTAACTTAGAGCTTAGAGAGTTTGTTGTTAGTTTCAGTGATTCTTAAAAGTTCTATTATCTATGATTAACACTATAAATATACTACATTGAAGGAGTCTACTGAAAAAAAATAATCTTAGGATTATTGACTATGAAGAAATGACATGAGAGATGCAGGGTTTCTTTTTGTGTTTTTGAATTCACCAGGATTGCAAGTGAATGTAAATACAAGATTTGGTTTCAAAGTAGATATTTTTAAAAGTAATTCACATTATGTAGATTATAGAAGTTGCTTAAAGAATACCTAATGTTGGTTCATTCTAGAATAGCTTTGTTTGCTGTATAGTCTAGCTCTGATGTCCATATTGATGTAGATTAGCCACTCACAAAGTTCAGCCATTCACCTGGTGGAGGAGAGTCACAGGGCTCATACAGCACATGGCATTCTGCTGCATAAACCATCACAGAAGATGATCTGGCATGCACACAAAGGATTCTTTAGTAAAGAAACCTGGCAAGATCAGATTTCTATAGGCTGACACATTTAGTGAAGGCCTTAAAATAGAATTCCAGAATGCTAGTGTTTTTTTATTGTTTATGACATCTTCCTAATGTACACAAAAGAATAAAATTGGTCTATTTGTGTACCTGTGAATGTGAGAGATTTATTCAGCTATTTAGAACTGCACTGCTTTTCTGAAGTGACTAAAATCTGAGTTGTCTAGATTAAAGAGTAAATGTAAATCAAATCTAATTATAATGGAAACTACGTTTTGTTAAATTTGTAACTTCATGTGCTTGTGAGTAGATTGTGCTCCAAGATTCATGTGCTCATGAATAGAAAGTCTCTGTGGTAAATATTTCTTTCAGTTTGGCATGGTTTTATTCAGCATTTTGGGTTCTCTTTATTGATAGCTAGTACCCATGCCACCATCTTTATAACCATTATGTTTTTCACCACAATAGGACAGACCTTAAATACTGAAAAGCTGAAAGAGTATCCTTGTTACAGGGAATCATGTGATATATTTTGCAGGAAGAGGGGTATAGGAATATTTTGAAGAAAGGTCAGAATAGGGAAACTTTTAGTTTCTTAAATCTAGAATAATACCTTCACAGTATGGTCATCATTTTTAAAAAAGAATAAATATTTAAAGTAATAGATATCTGTGTTTAAAAACAGCCACCAAAACACATTCAAAAGTCAGATTATTTTAGGGTTGATTATCATTTTGTGTTACTCAGGCCTATTCCTTGTTATTAGTGTAACTGACAGTAGACTAATTTTTTTAGGCCTAAAATGTTTAATTCCAAATTTGTAATAATTCCTTACTCTGTTTATATTAAAACCCAGCTATATTAAAACAAATCACTGTTTTTTACTAAAATAAATATTTTAAATTACTGCCTTAAACATTTGCAAAGAGTGATAGGTGTGGCACAGATGCTCCGCAGACCAGTTCAGAGACTGACAGGACAGTTTCTGGTGAGGCATTTGTAATAAACTGCTAAGACTCAAATGGATAAATAATATAACTGTAGTCTGTGAAAAGGAAAATAAGTGATCATTACCATTGTAAGAATGTTTTTTACCTTTTTATTTTTTAAAATACTGATTTTCTCTTCATATTATAGAACAGCTGTGACTGTTTTAAGACTTAGTAAGAAGCTCCTTGTTTATTTTGTTCTCTTATGCCGTATCTTACCTAGTGTCTAGCGTGACATTTGACCTTTTCTGCCTTCCTATTAGATGTCCTTTTCTGGCTGCTACTTTTGTAGTCATAAAAGCAGATTCTTGTATAATTGTTTGTCATAAATTAGACCTTTATTATTGGCTGCTATTAATACTAATCCTTGGGTTTCATAGTTCATTATATTTTTGTTTTATAGGATTGCTTTCTATTTTATTTTATTATTTTAAGAAGTGTAGATTGAATCTAGGGTGCTTTACCATTGAGCTACATCCCCAGCCCTTTTATTTTTTATTTTGAGATTTGCTAAATTGCTGAGACTGTCCTCAAATTTGTAATCCTTTGACCTCAGCCTTCTGAGTCGCTGAGATTACAGGACTATATCACCTTGCCTGATTTTTAGGATTTTATAATTTATATTTTAATGTTTTTTGAATGACTTTTAATTAGGATAGAACATTTTAGAGTCTAGAATAGATTAACTGTATTAAGGTGATGAGCTAAGATGTAACTTTAAGACAACTACTATTAGATTTATTTATAATTTTTACCTTGCCTATTAATACAAAATTTGACATAACTATGACACAAAGTAAAGAAGTGGAGGGTCAATTGCTCTCCTCAAACTGTCTTTGAATTTACATGAGTCTTTTCATGGTCTTAGAAGGACCCAAATATGTTTAAGTTCAACCAAGTAATTAAGCATGAAAATATTTTTAAATACATGTATTGCAAAGATTCATCACTCTTCAAAGTGCTGTATATATTTATTATATGCTATAGCTGTGAGATGCTTCTCTTCTAGTGTTGCTCCAGTTCTTTTACATTCACATATAAAGATATGCATCTTCATTTTTATTTCTGTGCCTGTTTTTTCCTTACTTTTTTGTTTCCTTTTCCAGAAATCTGTTTCTTTGGGTGCTTTTAGAAAGCGTGTCATTTTAAGTGCCTGGGAGACGTTTGTATATCAGGCACATCCATGTCTTAAGGATTATTATTTCAGTTTTGTAAACAGTGGATAAATAATGCAATATTTCTATATAATAGGACATTTTTGTATCAACATCATTGAGATTTTAAAAAAAATTTAAAGAAATTTTCAAGTATTCAGTGTTATTTAAGAGGGCTCTTAAAAATTAAGTCTACCTGTTGCAGGCTTGCTCATACATTAGAACTGTACTAGCACAATAGATCCTAGAATTTCCTCTTTGTTCTGTTTTAAATAGGCCATTAGAGTAGTACAATCTTCTTTATTTCAGTTCTGCTTTAAAGTGAAAGTAAATATATGAGCTTTATTCCCCCCCACCACCAGTGGAACGATAATAGAAATGTAGAAAATATTTAACTGTCTATAAATAAATTCAGTGGAAATGGATTAGGGTCTTATTTTTATCGTAAGGTGTATTATATTAAATGCTGTTACTATTTATGAATAAATCATATATTTTCACTACTTAATGGATAAAGAACTAAATCTTACAAGGAGAATTTTACAAACTTCAGTTTCTCTAGGAACTGGTTTAGTCTTTTTAATCTTTCAGTAAATAGCAATAGTAGAGATATATCATTTAGAATTTAATTATGAGAGTTAGTCTTTGTGTTCAAGGAGCTTTAAACCATCTTTTTCTGTGATAGAAAAATAGAAATTCTAGATTTTTAAAATGATGAATTATATCTCTATATGGGCTATTATTTTGTTTTTTAAAAGACTTAATTTTAATAAATAAAAATGTTATTTCTGCATGAATGAATATATTTAATAATTAAGTGAAATACCTCATAACATGCATATTTCTCCATATTTTGCTGCACTAACATGTTGATTTAACTGTTTTACCCATTTTTATTAATAGTTTGCTATTCTTTTATAGTCACTTTTTTTTAATTTTTAAGATTTTTTTCTTAATCATTTTTCAGGGAACCCATATCGAGTTATCTATTGGAATTATTTTGGGAATTTCAACGATGGCAGGTATATAATAATAGCAAATGTTATTATTCTCCTGGGTATGTATTTTATAGAAGATTTCAGAAGGTTAGGTTTAGAAGATGATAATTTATTTGAAATGAATTTACTAATTGAAATATCTGTTTATCTTCTTAGCCCTAATCATCTGATTCTTAGTTTTATATATGTAGCACTTTGTTCCAAGAAATTTTAGATATTTCATGTTAATTAATGGGTAACAGTTTTCTGTCATATTGTCTATATTAAAACAAGTTTGTCTGGTAATTCATGGTTACCCTCAGATCTGTTTATCCTTTGTCTCTATTAAATTATTTTCTAGTTGGTTAGAAAAGCAGAAAAGCAGAATACAAGATTGAACCCCTTTTCTTCTGCCTCTATTACCACTTTGCTCATGATAGTGAAATTTTGGAAATGGTTCCTTGTTGTTTATTGTGTGAAAAGCATGAAGTCAATGAGTTCCTGACAGTAATGTTTCTTTTCCTTGACTCCCTTGAATTCAGAGCTGTATGTATGGCTTTAGTCTTTAACTTCCAATTATGTGAATATGAAATATACATTGTATGAAAGATAAAATTATAAAATATCATGTATGTGTTTTGGCATTGAAACCAAAACAGAAACTGGCTGCTATTACAGAAAAAAAGAAACTTATTACTATATAGAGGTAGAATATTATAATTTCAGAATCATACTCTATTTTGAACTCTTGAGATTGAAAGCTTTACAATGAGTTTCTAAATATATAATTTTTTATAGTTAATGTAATTACCCTCCTAGACCAGTGCTCTGTGGGTCACATATTGATATATTATCATAATTTTTCTGACTTTTATGTAACAATTTACATGTCATTTTTCAAATTTTTAGCTGCTGCTTTGGGAAATCTTGTGTCTGATTTAGCTGGACTTGGGTAGGTCCATTTATTTATTCATTTATGTCCTTATATTCTTTCTTTGCTCCATTTTCCTTTATTTGAGAAGCATTTAAAATAAGTTTTCTTTGTGTCTTAGAACTAAATTTCTTAGTTGAATATTCTTTTTTCTTAAATTTTTTATTCTAATTTGTTATATATGGCAGCAGAAAACATTTCAATTCATACTACACATATCTCAGGTTATACACAAAGTTTAGTCACACTATATATCTTCATGCATGTACTTAGAGTAATGATGTCCATCTCATTCCATATGTCTTTCCTACCCCCATGCTCCTTTCCTTCCCCTCCCACCCCTTTGCCCTATCTAGAGTTGGTTAATCCTCCATGCTCCTCCTCCCAACCCCACTATGAATAATCCTCCTTATATCAGAGAAAACATTTGGCATTTGTTTTTTGGGGATTGGCTGACTTCACTTAGCATTATATTCTCCAACTCCATCCATTTACCTGCAAATGCCATGATTTTATTCTCTTTTATTGCTAAGTAATATTCCATTGTGTATGTATGCCACATTTTCTTTATCCATTCATCTACTGAAGGGCATCTAGGTTGGTTCCACAGTTTAGCTATTGTGAATTGTGCTGCTATAAACATTAATGTGGCTGTGTCCGTGTAGTATGCTATTTTTAAGTCCTTTGGGTATAGACTGAGGAGTGGGATAGCTGGGTTGAAAGGTGGTTCCATTTCCAGTTTTCCAAGTAATCTCCATACTGCTTTCCATATTGGCTGCACCAATTTGCAGTCCCACCAGCAGCATATGAGTGTGCCTTTTTCCCAACACTTGTTGTTTGTATTCTTAATAGCTGCCATTCTGACTAAAGCCAGATGAAATCTTAAGAGTAGTTTTGATTTGCATTTCTCTAATTGCTAGAGATGTTGAACATTTTTTCATATATATGTTGACTGATTGTATATCACCTTCTGAGAAGTATTTGTTCGTTCCATGGCCCATTTATTGATTGGGTTATTTGCTTCTTTTTTTTTTTTTTTGGTGCTAAGATTTTTGAGTTCTTTATATACCATAGAAATTAATGTTCTATCTGATGTGTGAGGGGTAAAAATGTACTCTCAAGATGTAGTCTGTCTCTTCACCTGATTGATTGTTTCTTTTGCTAAGAAGAAGCTTTTTAGTTTGAATCTATCTCATTTATTGATTCTTGATTTTAATTCTTGTGCTATAGGAGTCTTATTAAGGAAGCCAGGGCCTGAACCAACATTATGGAGATTTAGGCCTACTTTTTCTTCTCATAGGCACAGGGTCTTTGGTTTAATTCCTAGGTTCTTGATCCACTTTGAGTTGAGTTTTTTTGCATGGTGAGAGATAGGGGTTTAATTTTCATTTTGTTGCATATGGATTTCCAGTTTTCCTAGCACCATTTGTTGAAGAGGCTGTCCTTTCTCCAGTGTATGTTTTTGTCACCTTTGTCTAACATAAGATAACTGTAATTATGTGGGTTAGTCTCTGTGTCCTCTATTCTGTACCATTGGTCTACAAGTCTATTTTGGTGCTAATACCATGCTATTTTTGTTACTATTGCTCTGTAGTATAGTTTAAGATCCAATATAGTGATACTATCTGCTACACTCTTCTTGCTAAGGATTGCTTTAGTTATTCTGGGTCTCTTATTTTTTCCAAATGAATTTCATGACTGCTTTTTCTATTTCCATGAGGAATGTCATTGGGACTTTGATCAGAATTGCATTAAATCTGTATAGTGCTTTTGTAAGTATGGTCATTTTGACAATATTAATTCTGCCTATCCAAGAACAAGGTAGATCTTTCCATCTTCTAAGATCTTTATTAATTTCTTTCTTTAGCATTCTGCAGTTTTTGTTGTAGAGGTCTTTCACCTCTTTTGTTAGGTTGATTTTCAAGCTTCTTTTTTTCTATTGTAAATGGGGTAGTTTTCCTCATTTCCCTTTCAGAAGATTTGTTACGGATATACAAAAATGCCTTTGATTTATGGTTGTTGATTTTGTACCCTGTTACTTTGCTGAATTCATTTACTGGTTCTAGAAGTTTTCTGGTGAAGTTTTTGGGTGTTCTAGTTATAGAATCATATCGTTAGCAAATGGTGCTAATTTCAGTTGTTCTTTTCCTGTCTATACTCCTTTAATTTCTTTCGTCTAATTGTTCTGGCCAGAGTTTCAAGAACTATGTTAAATAGAAATGGTAAAAGAGGACATCCCTGTATTGATCCAGTTTTTATGGGGAATGCCATTTTGTTCTCTGTTTCATGTGGCAGGAATGATGAAACAAACTGCGGATGGCTACTTGGAAAAGGGCAGCTTTCTCTCTTTCAAGTACCAAATGGCCTGGGCTGCTTTCTACATTTGGGAGCCCTAAGAAATTGGCATTAATTATTATGATAAACATCTTGCTCTGTCTTTGATTTTCTGCCTTCCTTTGTTGGCTAATTTGAGTGTCCTTTTTTTAATACCTTAATTTAATTTATTTATATGTAGTGCTGAGGATTGAACGCAGGGCCTCACACATGCTAGGCAAGTGCTGTACCACTGAGCCATAACCCCAACCCCTTGAGCGACCTTTTTATTTTTTTGTAGTTGGACACAATTCCTTTATTTATTTATATGTGGTGCTGAGCATCAGACCCAGGGCCTCACACATGCTTAGTGCTCATGCTCTACCACTGGGCCACCACCCCAGCCCCCTTTTTATGTTTTGAGATTTGGATATGGGTGTAGTAGAAGTCTACTTCACCCTATAATCTAGGCAAAGGTAGTTTTATAAGTGGTCTAACCTTCTGTATTAAGGCTTTTATAGAACAGTTTGGGGCCAAAACTACTGTTAAAAATGAAATTTCTTTACTTTAAGACCATGATCAGAATTTCTATTCCTGGAATTTGTGACATAAATCTATCATGATATCACCCCTTAAATGTTCCATTTTCCAGTTTCCAAGTTTAAGGTTAATAATGATAATGTTATCACTTAGTAGCTTTTTGATATATTTAGTAGATCCAAATGATCTAGTAGATTTTATATTCATTTGAGTTTAGATTGTTATCATAAAAGTTTTTTTTTTAAATTGGAGATGAATCTTTTACTAGGATTCTTTATATTTACGCACTGTTTCCCTTCTGTCTTATTTTTACTGCCACTAAATAACAGATCTACATTTTATGGGTTAGGTGCATAGTTTTTAAAAATTTAACATATCTGACTAGTATCAGGATCCATTTTATGATTGCTGGTATGCATAGCCTAATTGACAAACTTTTTATTTGAAGTTCAAAAACTTATATCTTTAAAATTATATCTTTTAAGTGATAGCAGCTTAGAATTGATAAAACACTTGAGGTTAACCTGAATATTCTAGGCTGCCTGTCTTAGTATACAAATATGATGAATTTAGAAAACCTTTTTGTTTCTGATAATAGTTATTAATTTATACTAATTAAGGTACTTTGCTTTGATTTTTGGAACAAGTACAGAAATTGTTATTATTTGTAAAAAAAATTTATGTATCTTGAATAGGTCTTTTTAAGATAATGATGGAGAATAATTGCTTTGAGTCAGTTTACCTATGAAACATGTTAATATGAAAATATTCCTAAACTGGGTATATTTATATATGCTAAAAATAAAAGTTGCAAGAACCGTTTTGCCATTTCTGTAGTGCCAGGTACACATGTAAAATTATCTTGTTTCTCTTTGCAATAATTATTGTTTTATTATATGAAGACACTTGCATGTCTTTTTAAAAACTCATTTTCTGTTCTCCTATCTTGTTTTTTTTAAAGACTTGCAGGCTATGTTGAAGCTTTGGCTTCCAGGTTAGGCCTGTCAATTCCTGACCTCACACCAAAGCAAGTTGACATGTGGCAAACACGTGTTAGTACACATTTGGTAAGTAATTTATATGATCTATGACAATGAATTTGGGTAGACAAAGAATGACACTAAGTTTAGTATCTTGAAAACTCTGAGACTAAAATTGATTTGAGTAAAGTCAGTTAACAAAAATTATACAGGCTTGGAAGTCTTTATAAAAATAAGTATTTATGTATTGGCTCCTTATTTTTTATAAGTAGACTTGATTTTTTTAAAAAAATCTTTATACAGTTCAGTTAATCCTAAGGAGTAGTATCTATTATGTACCAGAGATTGGAGAATGTAAAATGAATAATTAACTATAGTTATCCTTAAGACACTCATTTAGGGAGAAAGACATGTATAAAAATTATCATTTAGTATGACATATGCAGTAATAGAATTATGCACAAGGTATAACAATAGCACAAGAAGGAGAAATAACATTTTGGGGGGGGATTGTTTTTTGGTAGGGAGATTTCTTGGTAATTCTTGATTTTAAGCTATTTTTGAATTATCAATGAGACATTTACTAGATAAAACAGTTGAGTTCTGAGTATAATGTCTAGCAAATAAAAGGTATGATAAAGAAAAAGGGAATATTCAGAGAAATACAGAAAATTAGGAATTTTGTGACTGTACTATGTAGTAGTTGCGGATAGAGTTGTATTCAAAAACAGCACTGGAGAAGTAAGCATGAACCAGACAGGAAAGGCACAGTGTATGCCCTGCTAAGGAGCTTATACCTCACACAAGGTGATAGTCAGCCAGTGAAGACTTAACTGGTAGCATCCAACTTCTTTCATATTTAAGTCAAGAAAAGGAGGAAGAGCCGATGGGAAGGGAAGATGAAGAATTCTGCTTTTGACCTATTGAGTATAAGATGCTAGCAGGATATTCAAAAGGTGATACTTATTAGGGTTAGGGTTAAAGGTAAGAGTTAGAGAGGTGTGAATTAGAGATGATAGGTGTCATCATCGCATTCACTTAGCAAATATTTATTGTTCACCTACTATGCACCTTGTACAGATCTCGGAGTTTTGAATACATCAGTTAATAAAGAGGTTTTTTTTTCTTTCTTTCTTTCTTTCTGATAGATCTTGTGTTCCAGCAAAAGAGGAGACAAGACAATAGAAAGACATGATAATTTTTTTGATATATTAGAAATTCATAAACATAAAGAGAATTAAAAACAAAAGTATTGGGAGTGCTACAATAGAGTCAGATTAGAGTATTAAATAGGAAAGTCATGGAGACCCACTGAAAAGTTAGGTGAGAGTTAAAACCTTGAGAAATAGTAAGATTTTATAGGTCAGTGGTTGTCAAAGGATGGTGCCAAGATCTACAAGATCAACTTTATGTGGGAACTTGTTAGAAATGCAAACTCTCAGGCTCCTATTTATGCCTATGTATTCATATATAAAAAATTACCATGAATTTGGCAGCTTATAACAACACGTATTTACTACCTCTCACTTTCTTGGGTCGGGAGATCAGGCACAGCTCAGCTGGGTCCCCTAGAAGACTGCAGTCATTGTGCAGCCAGGACTTGGTTGTTGCCTGGAGGCTCAGCTGGAAATGATGCACTTTCAAGTTCTCACAGTTCTTTGGCAAAATTAATTTCCTTGTGCTGTAAAGGTCCCAACTTCTGGCTGTCTTTTGGCCAGAGGACAGCCACGTGTCCTAGAGTCCCGTGGCCTATGGCCCTCTCCATAGACCCTTTCACAGCATTGCAGCTGTCTTCTTCAGAATCAGCAAGGGGGAGAGAAATGAGTCTGCTGGCAGGAGGGAGTCTTATAACCTAATATAGACTCTAAAGATATATCAGTGAATACAGATGTTGAAGTCAAATAAGAATTAAGGATTAAACTTTTAAATTTTGTCTTTCTAAAACTTTGAAGGAGTTATACCTTTTAAAATTTTGAAATAATGAAAATGACAGATTTGACTATTAATATAAAGCATGGGCATACAACTATTACCACCACCACCACCAATAAAGAAACCCCAAAATAGCAAAAGTTGAAAAAAATGTTATACAAGCTCTTGTTGAAATAATGTCTACTATTAAAATTTATTAGAAAAAATATAGGCTCTAATAGAAGAAGACATTTTATTCAGGAATGTAGATTATGAAAATGTCATAACATCTATAGTGTTTGACAGGACATATTTTGTCTTCCTTTGTATACCTAATGGAAGTTTCTGGAAAAGAAAGACTACCTCTGGCCAGGCCCCATCTCCTTGGTATACCTAGGATGGAGTCTGACACATAGTAAATTTTCAATGCTTGTATGGAGAACTCAAACTTAATTGAAAAATGTTTAAACTTGACAGTCATCATAGAAACGCAAATTTTAAAAATGATATATGGAAGCAAACAACTTAAAATTTTCATAATGTGGGTGAGATTGCAGAAAATTTATGTATATATAAACATACACATATAGTGAAATTTATATATATATATATATATATATATATACTGAATGCATATGTAGTTTTGTCCAGAGTAGACAGCATGACTGTAGCCTTGAAGATGCACAAATGTTCATATTTGATTTTTAAATGAATTATTGGGAAGAAGTAAAAACAGACATATTTATTGCTGATCACTTGTAATGGTGAAAAACAGTTTAAAGAATTTTTTATGGGAAGGAAAGCTTTAAGGAGATTATAGACCATCAATTAAGTGGCATTTAGAAATCTGCATACTAAATGTATGTAACAGTTTGGAAAGTTTATTGTAACAGGGGTTGCTCTAGAGTGTGAAGTGAAGCAGAGAATAAAGCAATGTTTACATAACTATTTTTTCTATAAGTAATTGTGTATACATGGGAATAAATGTAGAAAATAAATATATACAAGATACAGCAAATCCAAATATTTTGAGAGTAGTTGTTACGAGTTTTTATCCTACCTTCCTATTTTCTGACCTTTATATGTACAATTTTTAAAAAGTGTTGCAGTGTGAATATTTCTTTGATGATGTTTTTAAGATGATTTTCCGGGTTACTTTGAACTTTGTTTTTAAATTTTTATTTATTTATTTATGTACATATTTATTTGCTGTGCTGGGATTGAATCCAGGACCTGGTGCATGATAGGGCAACATTCTACCAGAGCCACATTTCCAGCCCTGCTTCAAACTTTAAATTGACCTGTTCTGGGATATTTTTGTAGCTTTTTAAAAATATTTAAATTACTATGATCAACTGATCAAGTTAAATATTTTAGTACATGGTAATTGTCTATTGTAATAGATACTTAAGCAAGGATACCTCTTTCAGGGATATAGTAACTTTCAAATGTTCTTTTGTGTTTCCTTAGGGCAAAGCTGTTGGGGTGACTATTGGCTGCATTCTAGGAATGTTTCCTTTGATTTTCTTTGGAGGAGGTGAAGACGATGAAAAACTGGAAATGGAAAATTCATCCTCTTAGAGTACCTATAAAAAGATGTAAACTAATGTACCTCAGTTATTAAATATATGCTGTCACAACATTTAGGAATTAAGACAGTAACAATGTATAGATATGGGATCAAATAATTCAGCATGTGTTATGGAAAACACTAACTTATTGTGGCTTGGTCTTCTTAAGACATCTTTTTAAAAGAAACTCTTTAGTATCATTTTGTGTAAATTGTTGAGATGCTTTTTTTCATCAATGGCTGTCAACAATTTTATCTTTTCCTTCTCTTTCTTTGTATATCAAAATATTATTTAAGTCTCAGTTGTTGATGTACTGTACTGACTTGGGGTTTGCTTATTTGTTACTTAACATGTATACATGCATGAAAGCTTTTTTTTTTTTTTTTTTTTTTTGCGCTGTTGTTTCTTGATAGTTGCACTTCAACCTAAGGGTATTTTCCCAAATTATTTAAGATGTTTAATATCAGTTAAAAATTTTTTTACTCTTTTGGCAACATCAATTTTGTACTCTTTCACAGTAAACATTTACAGTATATAATTTCAGTCATTTTCTTAACTCTCACATCTATTCAAAATAAATACAGGTTTTAAGTATATATTATTCATTTTAATTTTCTGACCATACCGTCTTAAGAGCCAGGGGTTAAACAGAGCAATTACAGTCTCCCTCTTTAAAAAAACATAGATGCTAACAAGTGTACTTATTTATGTTTTTTTTTTACCTTTAATTTCCTTATTGTGAATAATTACATCACAGGTTCAGACTCTTTAGGGGCAGAAAATTATTATTTTACAGTCTTTTAAATTAGAGATTGTGGAATCAAGTGAACTAAGGAATTTGACATGATACTTGGAAATTAAGAAGCTAAAATTTCTTTTTTTTAGAGAAGTAGAAAATAGAAAAGTTTGTGGTATAAGTGTGAAGTTTATGTTTGGAAGTTTAATGAGATACAAATTATTGCTTAGGAAGGATTTCCATCCCCCACAAAGTAGTATCTTCTCATCTGAATACCCCATCCTTATAATCCTAACCTTGTTATATTTTGTGTAGTGAATTTTATTTCTGGATAATTTCTTTTGAAGTGAAAACTGAATATTTTATATTTTGTTTTTGTTATGTAGTCTAGTCAAGTTACATGAGGTAAAATCCTTTCTCCCATTTTTAGTGTTTCTTTTTCTTTTGTGGCATTTAAAGCATATACTTGGTTAAAATCGCTTATTTTCACTCTTATATATCTGACCTAAGTATACCTGTGTCTGAATCCTAAATTTTAATTTTTGAACTGTTAAATTTTTTAGCATATAGCTTGTTACTTGTGCTAAAAATTACTCTTATTTGTAACAGAATAATTAAATACATCATGGAAGAAAAAAATTAAAATTTACTATTCTGGTTTTGAAATTATGTTGCTAAATAGATGCAAAAGACAAACTTGTAGGATGGCTATATTTAGGAATCTTATTTTGAAGTTTCATTTGCACATAATTACTTTGAGCTCTCATTTTCAGGGAGATTTTTTTTCCACCAGAAAATTTGTCATAAATTCTCTTCTCTGTACTTCACAGTAATTTAGTGCTGATATCCATTAATCATAGATTTTGCGGGAAGAAGGAAAATATGTAACATAAAAATAAATATATAAAATTCTTAGGCCAAGTAACACGACATTCTCATTTGATCAAATTTAGATTTAACAACCTGATATCTTGAAGAAAATTATCTTAAGGATATAATATTGTATCTCACATGGACACCAAAAATAATTTTTTTTTAAATTTTAGTTTGCTAGGATTAGAGTGCTTATTTAATTTTTTTGATAAAATATAAGTGCTTTTGTCCCTAAATTATATATTGATTGCTGTCCTGTTTATTTTTAAGTATTTTATTATGGTACTTGGCTTTTCTTTTTATTAATCAAATCTCATCTCCAGAAAATCAACCTATAAGTTTAGAAAGGGCTTTTTTTGTAACTGGGGATTGAACTCAGGGGCACTGGCCCTGAGCCACATCCCCAGCCCTATTTTGTATTTCATTTCAAGACAAGGTCTCACTGAGTTTCTTAGCACCTTGCTTTTGCTGAAGCTGGCTTTGAACTTTAAGTCCTTCTGCCTCATCCTCACGAGCCATTAGGATTACAGATGTGCACCACCTCACTCAGTTTAGAAAGGACTTTTGATTATTGATTTCCTTTTTTTTTGCTCTTGAAAATAATCCAGCCCTGTCATTAATTTAGTTAATAATGGAATCTCTAAATTTAATTGAAAATTAAAATTCAAAATTATTTAAGTGATCAAAACATGGAATATAACCTTCACATTTTAAGATGTTTTAATTTTTAGTCACAATAAAAGTTTGAATCATTCAGGTAAATGATTTTCAAAAAATGAAACCCTTTTGACATAACTGAAGGTATACATTTTTTTTCAAGGTCTTATTCTGCTTTAAGGCAGTGCTTTGCACAAAGTGATTTCTGAGAAATGGTTCTCTTTAAAGTAATAACTCCATGTGATCCTTATTTTGTTACTTGCCACAAAGAATCCTATTTCAGATTGAAACTGGAACTCTTTGTTTCTCTTGTGTTAACTGTTTCTCTATTAGGAACACTAGAGCTGTGGTTAATGCAACATGACCTGCTTCAGTATTGTCTGCTTGAAATTCATGTTGTCCCTGTATTATGATTTATTGACTTGTTGATGCATGTAAACTGAGTGCATTTTGTTGCACTGTATGTTAAATGGTGACCAATGTTTTTACAAAGGAATTGAACAAAAAAAATCTTTTAAGAAATTTGGAATGTGGTTTGATTTTAAAATTTGATTTTCTTTCTAATCTTAGAGAGTCTTGGTTATTCTGTCATTAAAGGGAATTGATTAATAAATGCAGATTTGTTACAAGGTGGGAATAACATCACTGAGACAGTAAATGGAACTGCTGATGACCACCTCTGATATCCACAATTGACATTATCTCCTTACAGAGTATAAGAGGAGTGATCCCATAAAAAAGTTGCAAAAGAGGTTGGATAAATCATACTGTTTGGGTGTTTACTGCAGAGATATCCAAACCATTTATTTAACAATGCCTGGTTTATTTTATTCTTTTTCTCTAGAAGGTAAATTTTGAAGACAATGGAAGTTTATACTTTACATCAAAAGATCATATAAACTACTTGGAAGTAAACCTGATTAATTTAAAATTATTTTTCTTCAGTGCTGAGGATTATACTGTGTGTGGGCCTCTCTCATGTAGGCAAGCACTCTTATCACTGAACTACACCTCCAGCCCCTCATTTTAAAATTACATATTCTTCCCATCTGAAAACAGTATATTAAAGGTAATACAACTTTTTTCTTAGTGGCTTGTCATCTTCTTCACGGATGTAATTATTGTGCTGTAATGTATTATTACCTTGGGAATTTAGTTTTTGTGTTTTTCCATCTTTCCTGCTTTTTTTTTTCTCTTGCTTTTGGCAGCTATTTTATTTCTCGAGTCTGCTTCTTTTTCAGTTTCATGAACTTAGAAAGTAGATAGCAGTCTTAACCATAAATTAATTGGGAAGTATTAGAAAATAGGCTTTGGAACCTATGTGGGATGGTGGTAATGATATTAACAACAGTATGAGCTCCCTTTTATTAAACACTTATCTGTTGCTGTATACTTAAGTATTTCACACGTTACCGCATTTAATCACCATAACAACAACATTGTTGGTGCTATTACTATCCCTATATTATAATGAGTAAATGAGGCATAGCAAGGTTATTTTCCTAATGATGTCACTATTACAAGCAGATTGGAATTCAGCTTTGTCTATGTGTAAAGTCTGCGTTCTTAACTACTATATTAAAGGGATGTCAGTTTCAAGGACTTTATCGAATACATTCTCTGTTTAGGTTTCTTATTGTCTCCATATTCAAGGGTCATCTTCTCATTGATGACCTAGGGAAATTGTATTTATAATCTCAAGATTCCTTTAACAGGTTCTGTGATTTTGAATGCATACTGTATGTTAGTAATAGCCCAAGGCACTAATATCTATCATCATGAAATTGGTTTTATGGAATGCATTGGAAGGGCAAAAGGACAAAGAAAAGCAAACATACACTTAGGTATTTTCTTTTTGTCAGATAATGGGGAGTTCTATGGCGATGAATGAAACAAGGTGGGTAGAGGGTTGCAGTGGTCATAACTGGGAGTGGTCAGGGAAAGCCTGAAAAAAGTAAAAACATAAATGATACAGATACCTGTGGAGAGAAGGAATCCTGCTAAGTTCTATAAGACTGGTATTAAGAAAATCTCATACATGTGAATATATTCCACTTTGGAATGCTTTGTTAAATGTTTACTTGTTTATTTCTTATTGCTAATGTCTGAATTAAGTCTAAAGATTAATACTTAAATGTTAAGATTAATACTTGTTGGATATTTACTGATAGCAGAAGAAAATAGTCCAGAAGCTTGAAGAAGTGACATTGAAATTCAAAAAGTCAGTGGATATTCATCAGCAAAATCCAGAGGGTTCGTTTTGTGAAACCCAACAGACCATTTGTTTTTACCAAAGCAATAAATGCTTTTGGTGTATGAGTTCTAACTAACACTGAAATTAGTTTTTTCTTCTCTAACTTTTAGAAATGGAGTAGTAATTCAGAGACATGTACCATTTTAGTTTTGAAGTGTCAGAATTTGGGATTCCCTGATTTTCCAGTCTGGCTCACAATTATATGAAACACATGGTGTTTTGAACTGATATTCAAATGAAATTTTATGACATCAAACTATGAATGCCATTGATATGTTTACCTAAGTTTATAAATAAATAAGTTTGAGCAAACCTTTTTCTGAGCATGAAGACTGAGAAGCTAAAGTAGGCCTTTGAGAAATTAAATTGTTTAAGTAAATGAAATAGAGGTTGAAGACTGAAGACTTAAAGGAACTCCTTTGGGAGAAGATGAAGAAAATTCTCAAACACAGAAGGATCAAATAATTTTCTGTGAGAATTGTGAAATTCAGTAAAGACTTGGCTTTTGCTAATAATATGAAAACTAAGCATTTATATAGTTTTTTTCATTTATAAAGAACTTATATAGATGTTAGCCATAAATGGGGTTTAAAAGATGATGTTAAGCCAACCCAATGAACTCAAGAGATACTGTAATTAGAATCACAGCTTTATCTTTCTCGAATGCCGGTTCCCCCAGCACCAATGTTCTCTGCAGTGTCTCAGTCTTCTGCATCTCCTTCACGCATTTGCGTTTCTTCTCTTTCTTATTTTTTCTTCTTTTCAACCATAGACTTATGGGAATAGTTATCAGAATGCATTTTTTTGTCCCATACTGTTATTTTAAAAGCATGTGAATCAAGTAATTTTTCTTCTTCACCCCTACTTGGGAGAACAAATCTAAATTAATTTAGTTCATTTTTCTATTATTAACAGCTTTAATTGTTCTTTCTTTCATATTAACTCTGGTAAAGAGTCTGCATTTTATAAGAGGACAAGACCTGACTATGCTTGAGAGTTAGTCCTGTAAAAGATGACATCTCCTCTATTGTTATGGTTTGGATATGAGATGTTCCCCCAAGAGTTCTTGTTAGTGCAGGAATATTCAGAGGTGAAATGGATTATGAGAGTTGTGACCTAACCAGTCCATCCTAGTTTGAATGGACTGACTGGGTGGTAATGTAGGCAGGTGGAGTGAGGCTGGAGGAGGTGGGTCACTGTGGCGGTGCCCTAGAAGTAGGTATCTTCCTTGTGATTTCTTCCCCCTCTTTCTGCTTCCCTGCTGCCATGAGGTGAGCAAGGCTCTTCTACAAGCCCTTCTGCATGGAGTTCTGTCTCACTTTGGGCTAGAACAGTGGAGCCAACTGATCACAGACTCAATCTCTGAATCCATGAGCCAAAATAAGCTTTTCTTCCTCTAAGTTATTCTTGTCAGGTATCTTGGTCACAGTGACAAAAAGCTGACTAACACATCTCTCTTGCTTGCCTCTCTGTTTAATACTCTGTGCAGCACCTGGCATGTGGTAGATGGCTCAGTGGTTATCTATTTGATGAGTGATCATTGCTATCCAAATCACTGATTTCTTTCTAGACACTTGAATTCTGGCTTGACTCTCAGCCTGTTCTGAGTCAGTACTACGTACTGCTTCCTGTGTAATACTCTGTACCACTTCTGAACTTGGTCACATTTTGCTTCAGGCAGATTGGTTAATCTACTACTAGTTCTCCAGACCATTTTATAACTGATAATCAAATGCTTAATGGGAAATACAATATGTTCATAATTTTTTTCAACCAATTAGCAGGAAAATAAATATTCCTTGGTGTGACATGATTTATTCTTATTTGGGAGCTAATGGTTTCCACTTTACTTTCTGTTTAGTCTATCCTAACATTTTCCCTGAACGTTAATATGAAAGAATTTGTCTACAATTTCTAGAATCTTTCTGTCTCCCTCTCTCTCTAAACATGGTATTATTTTCCCAACTCTGGGCTTTATGGTACTTTTACGCTCTCCTCATGTTCTCATGAAATACCAGCTTTGCAATTATGTCTCAAATCCAATATCATAAGCCTAAGATTTTCTAGGTTTGCCTCAAGACTCCTTTACTTTTTAAAAAAAAACTAAGGAATTTTGTGTCTAAGTGGTATATAAATATTTACTATATTAGAAATGAAAACTGACAAATTATAAAAATTCATTTACTAATTTAAAAATAAACCAACTTCATGTTGGGCTGAGGTTGTGGCTCAGTGGTAGAGTGCTTGCATAGCATGTGTCAGGCACTGGATTTGATCCTCAGCACCATATAAAAATAAATAAATAAAATAAAGGTCTATCAAGAACTAAAAAATAAAAAAAGCCAACTTCATGTTAACAAATATTTTATGAAAATTATTTTTCAGAAATATAATTTGGTGAAAATAATAGCATTATTTTATATTATTTGCTAATGTCTTTAATGTTTGCCTTAATAGAAGACAGCTGGATTCCCATATCTGTTTCTGCATTTGATCTGTTTGATATGTTGTTTTGTTTGGAGTAAATGAAAATTCTGCTGCATACAGATATGTGGTTGTAAACTGGAGGAATATTTTAATAGCTTTTTAGTATGACTGGATTTCTGTAGTTTCTAAAAGGTTAGTTGCCATGGAGAATCAGAGACCCTATGCATGAAATTTTGCATTGAGTTGCATTAACATCCATTGTTCTGTTTGTACTTTGTAACTTTTTCTCTGTGATTTTTGTAACATTTGGAATCACCAATTCACTGGGTATGCAGATCTTCCCAAAATTAATATACTTCAGAATATAAAAATTTTAAATCATGTTTAATATGACTGGCAATCTCATTTTCAAAAAGCCTTTTAAATATTGAGACATTGTCAAGATCAGATGGCAGGTACACATTTTCCAGAATTCTGATTTTTTTCAGTTGAAAGCTTAAATTTTATCATTGGTAGCAAATACCCTTAATTTTCTTTACAGTGACATTCACTTTATTCATGTTTGAGAAAATGCCTGTCAGGTACCCACGTCTGAATACCCTAGCTTGTCTCACAGTTCAGAACAGCCTCACAAGTGCTTTTCCTCAAGACAGCAACCATACTTTGTTATTCCCAGAAGTACTTTGTGCACACTTCTCATTTCTTCAGTATATTCAAGAGTCAAGATTTAAAATAAGTAAATCCACTGCCTTATGAAGAACATCGAACAAAACTTTTCCCCTTCAACTGCAAGGAAGACAATGACATTTCCCAGCTGACCATGAAGAAGAACACTGTGGCTACTGGTGTCTTGATGGAATCTCAGGTGCTTTTATCCATCATTGCTTTTTCCTTTTTCCTTGTGGGCTCTTACTATATTGCCCAGGCTGCCTTCAACTGCTGGCTCAAGGGATCCTTCTGCCCTAGCCTTTAGAGTAGCTAGGAGCACAGGCAGACACCACCAGATCTTGAATTCCATCATTGCTTTGTGCCATCAGTGGGCATGTCCTTAGTGGAAAAGGTAATACCACCTTAGTACCTTATGACAATGTGTTGACTTTGCCAATCCCATAAACAAAAACAACAACCAAAAAACTGGAAGTCTGCAGACCGTACCTCTGTACTTTGAGAACTGTTTTCTTAAACTTTCCTGATTAGTTTAGATCTAATTGCAAGCAATGAAACCCCCAAATAATAGTGGCTGAAACAAAATAGAAACTTGTTTCTCATGGAAAATTGTAGTATTTATCCAGAGCTGGACTAAGTGTTACACTCCAGAAAGTGGTCAGAAGTCTAGATTCCTGTCTTGCTTCATCATATATAGCTTTCTTCTAAAAAATCACTTCATAATGGCTGCTTCAGCCCAAGTCATCATATCCACATTATACCCAGGAAGGAGAAACCACAAAGAAAGATAAAGGGGCTTGGAGCAACTTTTAAATTGCCACACTACGTATCTGTCAGACTTCTGAAAATGAACACATTGAGGTTAAAAAAAAGTCAATACCTCCATTATGTATGGCTAAGTGTATAGCCAAAAGCTGGAAAAAGGAATCTTGGGTGATAATTAGGTGTCTATTACAGTTTACCATGTTAGCTACCAAGTATTCATTCTTTACCTTTCCCCCACTGATAAGACACTTATCTGTTCAAGTTTCCATGCAGTGACTGCATTTACCTCTAGAAATGCACCTTTCTCTCTATTCAGTCTTAAAGTGACCACTTGGTATTAGATGACTTATAAATGAAAAAATATCTGCCCCTACATACCTAGTATGCAATAACGATTTCCATTCAGACAGGGAAAGAATGGGTACTCCAACTGTTAGTAGTGCCTAGCAATAGTCAAATCCATTACCACCATCCCCTAGCAGAAAAGCTCA